ACGTGGTTGATTACGTTACTGTTGATCATCTGTCCATCATCCTATAAAGCCCGCCCTGACAATTTGATTGGCCCGACCAGATATTGGGCGAGCATACTCGCGCTACTATTGAGAAATGCCAGACCAAACTTCCCGACCTCAAACATTGTGGGCGGGACTAAGTTTGGCACCTAGGCTATACACAGACAACTAGTGAAAGAAATGATAACTTGCAGCTTCTAAAAGCCTTTCTTCAATCAGATCATGTTTGAGTTCAGTTTGGAGAAAGAGCAAAAGCATCTGGACTCTTTTTTGGGGGTTATTTAAAGAGATCTTAGGGAACTAAATTATTCCATCCAATGAAGCTGGAAATTTTCACACCAGCAGCCCAAGAGAAAGACCTCATCCACACATTTCATGGACAACATCAAACCATGCAGATAAACAATCTTTCTGAATCAAAGCTCCTTACAGAACCTGTTTCTCCAGCTTTGACAGAATTAGTTCATCTAGAGGACTTCAAGGTGTTGCTGAGTCGAGGTCACAACCTGAGCTGTTGCTGATAAAACCTCTTATCAGAGGAAGGCAGGAGGCTGGTCAGCAGGAGATACGAGTGTGTGTGTGTGTGTTCAGATTAAAGGCAGCCTGTAGTCCCTCCTCCCCTGCAGCCCTCTATATATTCACTGCTGAATCCGGCAGGCTGCACTCTTCTGCAGACTCTCAGAGTGTGAGGGAGTGTGTTCAGTAGTGAGAGAGTGGCTGAGAGACACCAGCTCTGACTGAAACATTGACACCTGGTTGCATGTGTGAAGTTTAGAAGATGAGTGAGAACTACAACATTCCTTTCTGGATCTACCTGGCTGTAGTGTCTTTGTTTGTGGGTGGAGCCATGAAGAAGATCCTGGCACCCCACCTGAGCGTCGGCCCCACTCTGGTGGCCTGGCTGGGGGCCACGGTTCTGGTGGAGCGGCTATGGGGGTTCTGCCTTCCAGCCATCCCGCTACTGGTGCTGCTTGCTGCCATGGGCTGCATCTACTCACGGTCCAGGACCGCCCAGCTGCCCAACCTTCCTGCCCAGGGCAAAGCTGTCTTCATTACAGGTAAAGGAGGCTCCCTCGTCCTGAGATGAGGGCTGGAAACTAAGATATCGAAGTAAACCTAGAGTGCTTTCAAACAAACCTTTGCCTTCACCCAGAGATGAAGGATCAAGTCATCTCCATGTCATGTATTTATTCTACCCAGCCACTGAATTTACCTATGACTCCCCTGGTTAAATGGGTCTGTATCGCAAACACATGACATGGAGATGACTTGTTGACTCCAGATCCCACATCTCAGTCTTCACCATAATGGTCTGTCCAAGAAAGATCTGATAAACGTAGAAAGCTGAGTGTGGAAAAACTGATCCCACATGATTTAAGAGGCACCAAACAGGAGCTGCTAATCAGATGCAAAGATGAACAGATCATCAATGGGGGAACATCTCTATGGCATCAGATAGATCTGGTAGCTTTTCTGCAGCAACCAAATAGATCTTGACATACTGTAATATCAAAGCAGAAAGACATCAATCAACAATGAGCTTAGCGATGCAACACTTGCAGCTATCCCCTAAGAAACGTTGGACGGTCAGCTCTAAACCATCCAAAATCTATCATCCTGCAGAGGAGAACATCTCAGGCAGCTGCCGGTTTCACAAAGAATCATCTCAGCAGGTTTAGCCCAAGTTCAGGGCGTGAAACTCAGAGAAATTACCAAAAACTCAAAAGCTCCACCTCTTCTAAAGGTTAGCAAATTAAAGTTTTAAGGGTCCTGACCTTCAACCAGTTTTTAAAGACTGAAGTAGAAAGTATCTCTCTAAAATCAAGATGGCAGCAGGACGTGTATGACCAAAATGAAGTGGAAGACCAGACTTCTGGTACTATGCTCTCTGGACAGAAGAGGCCAACATAGAGATGTTGGACCATGTTGGACAAAACTATGTTAGAGAAAACCAAGTACAGCACATCCACACAAACACCTCAGACCAACTGTCTAACCCAGTGCTAAGGGAACGGCGATCATGCTTAACTCTACAGCTTCAGGACCTGAACAGCATACATAGTCTGCTGGGGAAGACTCTCAGTCATCCAGGTCAAAGTCATTACAATTCAGTTAAAAAACAATCAACTGGACTTTGTTCCCAAGTTTGAAAATGTTTACAGAGGACCAGAAGCTTTAATGACCCCCCTATCAAAGACATAGACAGGTCTGGGGCATTGCAGGCTAACAAAAGAAGCCAATGGCCCCCATTCCAAAGGGGGGGACCCGTTCATCTGTTTCTATTTGCAGGTTTTTGAAAAGCTTTGATGTGCTACTGTATAAGAGCCTCGAACTCAACCATATTTATGTCATTTTTAACTGAAAGGACGTCCTGGATGGGAAGCGAAAGGTCTTCAGTCCAGTGGATTGTATTTTTTTAAAACTTTTTTTGGAAAGCTTAGAGAGTCTGTGGAGCAGGACTTCCTCTGCACACCAAAGCAGTTTAGGGTCAGGTTTTTCATTTTAATCTGTCCCAAAGCTAAGGCTTAGTCCAAACTCTCTGTTGGTCAGGAAGTATTAGCACCAGCAGCAGCGATATGCATGCTGGCAGGTTGCTTGTAGATGAGCTCCTTTATTGTGAGCAACCAGAGTTACTAAAGCTCTTCTTTATCCAGTTTGATCTACTTTTTATTGGGACCTTTTTCCACGTTCGGTTAAATTCAGCATTTACTAGTTGCAGTCTTGCCTGCACCCTGAAAACGGACAATCTCTAGGCAATATTGGAGCTGCAGATGTTGCTGTTGAGCTCCTCTCACCCTGCTCTGACTATGTCCCTGTATTTTGTAGGGTTTGTTTGTGAATAGAGGGGCGCTTTGGAGTCTTTGCCCTGTTGCATTACAACACAGGCTCCTCTTCCTCATCCACAACTTCCTACTTCTGCTTGGACTAGCAACATGTTTCTACATTTCCAGATTTTCAGGAATAGAAGAGTTGGCTTAAACTGTGTCGGTTTTTAAGTCAGAACTTATTCCTGTTTGTGGTTTCATTTTGTTTGGTTGAGTTATTTGCACTGTTTTCTCACAGAAAGGAGATTCTGGGTTTATCTCCTGGATGAGTAGTTTGTATTTTCCTTTTTGTGCAAAGATGGATTCTCTTTGACTTCCTCCTGCTGACCCAGAATATGCATGTTAAATAAAATGTTCCCTTTACTGTGGCTCTGTGATTTTGTGCTTCCATGTGAGGGAGACCAGTCCAGGTATATGTCCCTTACCCCACAGAAACCACCTGGATTCAACTATCATGTAATCCCAGTGTTTCCTTTCCTGCAGGCTGTGACTCCGGCTTCGGGAATGCGGCGGCAAAGCGTCTCGACTCCTTGGGCTTCGAAGTTTTCGCCACCGTTTTGAACCTGGAGGGAGACGGAGCCAGAGAGCTGCAGAGAAGCTGCTCCTCCCGCCTCACCCTCCTACAGGTGGACATCACGCAGCCGCAGCAGGTGCAGCAGGCGCTGCTGGACACCAAGGCCAAGCTGGGCCTCCGAGGTGAGCTGGGTAGACCAGCAGGTTTACAACATCCAACTGGAAGATTGGCCAACATTTAAAAAGCATCTCTAAGTGAAATCACAGAGTTTTAGAAGGATGCGAATGAAAAAACTAAGTTGGATCAGGTTGAAGGTAAGCAGGATGACAGAGCTGTGAGGGAGAGCTGCAGGTACCATCAGATCCAGATGTTTCTAAGCAGCTGTAGGGAGGGAAGTTTGGAGATGATTCTGACCCCAGAGGGACAAACAGCTCATTAACTTTTCCTTATAGATAAATCCACATGCATTCATGATTTCCTCCCTTTTTCAGGTCTGAAACACTAAAACAGTTTTAAGACAATCTCCTGCTTTCAGATGGACCTTCTCTGAATATCTGCTGTAAATCAGAAGCCAGTCGGCCGCTGAGTCTAACACTGACAATCTCTCAGAAAAGTGAACTCGGACATTTCTAGTGACCCTTCGTGAGTCTGGTTCTGAGTTGTTTGAAGATGTTCTGCTGCTTGATTTGTAGCAGTAAGTATATAAATTAGTCTGCTGGTTCTGTTGGTTCTGCTCAGCTGGAATGTTTGTTCCAAGGCCTTCTAGGAAACGCTGCAGCAACCAGATGACTGTTCTGGAACAGCCTCAGAATCAGGGCTGTGCAGTAAAACAGGAACGTCTCTCTCGCTTCCTTCTTTCTCTAGAAGCGTTCATGTTGTGGGGACATAAATCTCCCTCCTTTCTTGTGGGGACAAAGATCAGAAGTCTTCATCACATGAGTCATTAAAGTTTAACACAGCGGTTTGAGGTCTGGGCCAAATTTCCAGCAAAACTCAGAGAGGGTAGTGAGACCTCCTGTTCTGAATGAATTGATGGTTGTGAGGATTTGTGTCATCCTCCAATCTTAGAAGTATTCAGATAGTTTATAGAAGCTGCAGACGGCGGTTTGTTCTCAGACGTCACAGGATCGAAAACAAAAAGAAACAACAGATGCAAAAACAGGCCTTCACCTCTTAGTTAAAACACAAACGCTTCAAGAACCAAGTGTTTGATGTTAAAAAATAGTAACTAAAAACAGGCAGAACAGATGGCAAACTTGGACTCAATGGAGGTAAAAAAAAAAAAAAAGGGCTTCTTCTGGTAGGCGTACAAAGAGTAAAAAAAGGTGTCAGCAGTTTGGAAAAGAAAAGCTGCAGTTTCATTTCAGAGATAAGCAGTGATGATTTTAAAGATAAGACTACAGAGATTCTGGAGCAAAAAAAATAAAATAAAACAAGACCACAGTTAATTTGATTGAACCTAATTTAAGTTTCTACAATTGGAACATTAGTTAAACTGTAACTATGGCTCTGTGAAGTCCTGGATGACTGCCGGTTGCAGTAGATAAAGTGGAAATGTCTCCTTAAGCTCCACTCAGGTGGAATTCTAATGTAAATATGTATGTGATTTATCCCACCTAAACGTTATGTCTATAAACCAAGCCTGGGTCTGGTCTCACTGAGGAGTTCTGAATGTCTGATGTGACCAGAAGTCACCCAGGAATTCATTACCATGGTTACAGTCTAGCTTCTGCGCTGCTACCAATGGCTCAATTCAATTCAGTTAATTTACAGAAAACCAATTAACAACAAATGTCATCTCACGGCACTTTACAGAGACAGTTCATCCTGATTGGTTCAAAGTTTTCTATCTAAGGAAACCAGCTGATTGCATCGACTCATTGACTCTTCAGCAATCCCTCACACTAAGCATGCTTGTAGCGACAGTGGAGAGGAAAAACTCCCTTTTAACAGGAAGAAACCTCCAGCAGAACCAGGCTCAGTGTGAGCGGCCATCTGCTGAGGCCCACTGGGGTTCAAGGAGACAGAAGCAGACATAGAAAAAGAAGCATAGATACAAAAGGCAACTGTCAACCAGCTCCACAGGCGGCCCCGTCCAGGAAACACACAGGCAGCAGGAATTTATGATAGTAGCACCTTGGAATTGTGCATGGAGTTGTCCAAGAAGCTATTGGCCGTTTCTCAATATGTGTGTTGTGTACTTCTTACACTAAATAAAATAAACGGTGAGGCACTTTGTATGTAACTTTTATTGCAGCTCGCAAAACAACAACACTGGGCACCAGACCAAAACATATCGAACACTGAGTGATGCGCTTCTCATAGGGTAAACCAATCGATCACAGATGATCCAGATCATTCTAACGATATACTACAATGTGTACTTGTGCGTTCTTGTGTCCTCGTGAAACGCCATCAGCCTCAACTCTATTACTTTTCTGATTCCCAAGAACAGCAGACCAAGAACAGAAAAAGTCCCCAGATGTTGTTCTCGCCCCTCCCTATTTACCCAGCATGCATCAGAGCAGACTTGTCCGTTCTTGAGATTGACAGCTGTCCCAGCATGCACTGCGGCAGTAGCAGCTTCCAGGTTAGCGCTCACAGAGCTCAGAGTAATAAGTTAAAAGTACCGTTTTCTGTTGCGGCTGTTCAATAAAAGTACGTTTTAAGATAATTTGAGGTGAGAATATTATACTTTTAAGGGTCACTATATGGCCCAATTCGTGATTTAATGCGTAATTATTTTTATTTTTTTCCGAAGTTGAGAGGACCGTGGCAACCAGCAGACCTCAGAGGTTAACAGACCGCTGGCTATGATGCTGATTATTTGTTTTATTTGGCAAAATGTTCATTTAATTTGTGTTTATCTGACTGTGTTCATTATTATTCCCCCAATAAATGAAAAAAAGTCTGAATTTATTATTATCTAGAGACTATTAATAACAGGAGGTGAAATGCAGCTCCAGACGAGCTTTAATGTGGTGATGTCATCAGCTTCTGTTCCAGATTTGATGCTGCCGTTCTCCCAAAGTCCACACTTTCCTGTGTTCTTCTCAAGAACATAATAGGCGGGGACACAAGTCCATACTCGCATTCTTGTGAATTGAGAAACAGCCATAGTGTCTTCTGGTGAAATGGCCCATAAACATCCTGGTGTGCATCCCCCCCCCCCTACGAATCTACCAGCACAGAGTCATCAGTGACCCAATAGTGACCTCTGTTGTTTTCACCATGACAGACAAAGAGCTGGTCTGACTGCTGGAGATCAGCCTTAGCTGTAATATAAATTATCTTCTGGTCATGGTGGCAACAACACAGGCTTAAATTGGAGGCAACTTAACTTTCACTCAGTTTTAGTGAGGATGTTTGGACACCTGTATAGGAGTCTATGTCAGTTCTGTCAGCTCGCACTACAGACTGTCTAAGGCCGACCTGTTGAAACCCAAGGATCCAGAGAACGGCTGAATGGTAACAGAGCATTATTAAATCCTGTCCTAAACAGCAAAATTAGGAAGCACAGTGATCACAGGCTTAGATGCACAGGACAACCCTGCAGTCACATTGCTGCTAAAGCAGATCTCCTAATGTGGAACTAAGATGGTTTGACATTGATGTCTTGTTGACAATCAACTCCTGAACTCATTGATGATAGAGACAGAATCTCTTCTCAAATGGTTTGTTCTGTGTTTTTCCAGTTTACAGCAACATCAAACATTAACAGATTTTTAATCTCACAGTCAGAAGTTAAACCAAAACTCGTTAAGAAATTATTCACAGCCAAGCAGCAGCTCTGACCCTGTGTGTGTGTGTGTGTGTGTGTGTGTGCAGGTCTGTGGGGTTTGGTCAACAACGCTGGAGTGTGTCTAAACTTAGGTGACGCCGAACTGACCCTGATGTCCAACTTCCGATGCTGCATGGAGGTGAACTTCTTCGGGACGGTGAGCGTCACCAAGAGCTTCCTGCCGCTGGTGCGACAGGCCAAAGGACGCATCGTCAACATCTCCAGCCCAGCAGGTGTGTAACATCCCCCCAACCACCACAACCACACACATGCATGTTAGGTTCTTCTCCCTTTGCAGGAATGTCTCTTAATTTTACTTAATTTAAGTCTATGCCTTGACCATCCACCTGACTATAACCCTAATTCAAATCCACAGAGCATTCAGGCAGGTTCAGGGTTCCATGAGTCCAGCAGAGAGTTCAGTCAAACACGCTCAGATGGAAACAGGCAGACTCAGCAGTTGAGAGGCAGACCTAGACACAACACTAGGAACACTGCGGAACTTTAAACTAGCTCCCTTTGCCCAGCGATAACAGGAACAGGGTGCGATCAATGGGGAATTGCAAGGACACCATCAGGAAACACCAAGGCAAAACTAACAACCCTCTCTATTCACTGGCCTCCGAGAATGAGCACATGAACTAAGGCATCAAAGAGAAACTCAAAAACACAAACTCAATGATCTGGCCCTGATAGCTGGCTTGAGGCGCGTATGACGCAGCAGGAGCAGGTGGATAAGATGAATGATAATTAGTAACTAGGGAAGTTTAGGCAGGTGAGTAAAGTGAGCATTTAGGTCAGCTATCAGGGCTGCGATCGTCACACTCGCTCCACAACAAACAGACGGAACTGGTCCTAGTCACAGTTTCTGTGATTCACACATAAAATAACCATTTCTTCCAGGTGAGCAACCATTTCCATGTCTGGCTGCATACGGGTCGTCCAAAGCCGCGCTAAACCTCTTCACTGAAACCCTGAGGCATGAGCTGAACCACTGGGGGGTCCGAGTGATCACCATCCTTCCATCCTCGTACAGGACAGGTAAGACCTCAAGGTGATAGGCTACACCTGCGATTTTTAATCACTCTGGTTAATGTTGCGGTTAACATGCTGCTCTTCCTTTAACGACCCCCCTTTCAGAGACTCAGACAGGCATGGGGCGTTGCAGGCTACCAAAAGAAGCTAAACTATCCCCATTCCAAAGGGGTGGAACCCTAGCCTCGTGAGACTAGGGTTCCATCCTGATCTCACGAGCTTTCAAGGTTTCACTCGCAGATC